ATGTTTTGGGGTTTTCGTTTGTTTAAAAAGCAATTTGCATTTTAAAAATTGCCAAAATATAAGCTTTGGGAGGGTGGGGTCTTTTGAAAGGGCAGCATTGTCATTGCTGAATGAAAACCACGGAGAGGAATTCGTCCTGGGAGACGCAGGGCGCTGGGGACGTGGTGGCAGCACAAAGACCACAACCACAGCTCCCAGAGCACAGCCCCAGCCTGTGCCTCCATTCGTGCCCTCCTTTCCTGCTCCCACAAGGAGAATCCTGCCCACCTTGACCTCCTTGAGGGATTCATTTGACCAAGTCGCCGGTTTTAACGCGGAGAAGATTCCGCGGCGTTTTCTCCGCCTGGCTCCAAACCTCAGCTTTCCTCCTTCCCTCCTCAGCCTTTCCAGGTTTCGGAACATCTGTGTTTAAATGAAAGCTGGCTATGCAGAGCCGGGCCTGGCAGCTCAGGTAGAGGTGCTCTTTTGGAGCTCTGCACATCTGGGCACAATAAAGTCGGGGAACAAAAGGCTTGTGAGGTCCTTGGCAGAGTGAGGGAAGGAAGAGAGCGGGAGGCAGCAGGACTGGGCTGGAGCAGCTGCAGCCAAAACCCTTCCTCGCAGAGCCCTCAGCACCTGGCCAGGGTTTGCTCATAGGGCTGCAGGGGTGTCTCCACCAGGTGCAAAGCAAAGCTTGAGGAACGGACATGATGCCAGTCCTGGGAGGTGATTTTTCTTACAGCCCTCAAAGGCGTTCATAGAAAGAAAAACGAAAAACGGGTTGCTAAAGAGCCACTTGAATTCAGGGAAATTCAAACCAAGAAGCAGTGGCAGAAAATTAAAGCCAGGCCAAGTCATGCTAGGAACAAGGCAAAAGGCTCGGGCACAGCAGGGGATTAACCTCGGGCCGAGCAGAGGGAGGGCGGGAGCCGCTTCCTGAGCGCCTCTGTCCAGGGAAACGGAGCCACACGCCCCGGGGACACGCACGGAGCTGCAGCTGGCATCCAACACCACCCCGAGCTGCTGCTGGGGCCTGCGGTGTGCCCAGCAGTGCCCACACTCTGCTCCTCCAGAGAGATCCCACCACGGCATGGAGCCTCGGCCCCACAAGGGCTTTGTGACGCCTGGCTGGGACATTTCTTGCATTGCCCCAATTCCTGCGTCCCTGTGTGCCACTGTCAGGAGAAACGGGAGGGGGGTTGTCCTTCAGTCCTTCCATCCCTGTGTGTCACTGTCAGGAGAAACGGGAGGGGGATTGTCCTTCAGTTCCTCCATCCCTGGGAGAAATGGGAGGGGGATTTTCCTTCAGTCCCTCCATCCCCAAGAGAAACGGGAGGGGGATTTTCCTTCAGTTCCTCCATCCCTGGGAGAAATGGGAGGGGGATTTTCCTTCAGTTCCTCCATCCCTGTGTGCCACTGTCAGGAGAAACGGGAGGGGGATTTTCCTTCAGTTCCTCCATCCCTGGGAGAAATGGGAGGGGGATTTTCCTTCAGTTCCTCCATCCCTGGGAGAAATGGGAGGGGGATTTTCCTTCAGTCCCTCCATCCCCAAGAGAAACGGGAGGGGGATTTTCCTTCAGTCCCTCCATCCCTGTGTGCCACTGTCAGGAGAAATGGGATGGGCGTTTTCCTTCAGCCAGGCCAAGCCTCTCCCACTGGGCATTCTGCAAGCACAGCAGGCTGCAGGCAGAGCTGCCAATTTTCCTTCAGTTCCTCCATCCCTGTGTGCCACTGTCAGGAGAAACGGGATGGGCATTTTCCTTCAGCCAGGCCAAGCCTCTCCCACTGGGCATTCTGCAAGCAGAGCTGCCAGCTTGCCCTGGCTGGTGGCCAGCAGTGCACAGCACTGGCCACTCCAGCCCAGGCCCTCAGGGTGGACACAGGACACAGTAATTGCACTTAAAGCCGTTGTCCCTAAGTTTGGCCCCTTTTGACTGCAGAAACAGGTGGATCAGGAGGGCTGGGTGCTGGAAAAGCTGCCAGGTGTGTGGGGCTGGGAGGGAATCAGTGCCCAGCTGTTTCCAGCTGTTTCCTCGGTGCCCTGGGAGTGGCAGGAGGACACAGGACCAAGGCTGAGCTGATGGAGCCCACACGAGCTGAGAGGTCCCAGTGGAGGGGTGGCTGTGCTGCTCATGGAGCGGGGCTGGAGCAGACCGTGCCTTCCCCCAGCTCCCTCACTGCCTCCCTGGAGGGCTCGTCCCCCAGGGCATCCACAGTGTTTAGGTTGCTGACTCTGCATGAGGACAGGGTTGGCTGTTTTTAGGAACTCCTTGGAGCTTCTTGTGAGGTTCAGCTTCTTCCCTTCTTCAGGATTTTCCTGTCCCTGGGACACCAGTGGAAAATTGATCCTGGGAGCAGAGCTGGGAGGAGCTCTGCACACTCCACTTATTCCTCCACATTCCTGTGCGGCTCTGCTCTGGTGGCACCAGTGGAAATGTTAGCAAAGAACTCGAGAAAATCCCCAGAGTTCTGTTTTCCTGGCTTTGCAAAAACATTTCTGCTTATCAAGCAACCCAAAGAAATGTGAAGATTTTCACTCACTCTTCGTGTGGGCTCAGCTTTGAATTTTAAGAAGGGATTTGCCAATGCAATCTTGCAAAATACTCCAGTGCCAAGTCCAGCTCTCCTAAAATACAAGTTTTAGGAGGAGGTGAGCTTTCATTCTCCTGGGAAAACATGCATTTCTGACAGATTTGAGGGAGAACTAAGGCTTCTGTGAGGCCATGCTACTCCCTGGAGAAATGTCCCTTCATGCTGATCAGCAGGGACCAAATCCTGTGGTTTGTGGCACCAAAGGCAGAGCTGCTCATGAGCCTCGAGGCTTTGAACGATGTTGATGTGCCCATATGGTCACAAGCTACAAGAGCCCTCAGGCTGAGGGATGTAGATCTTTTTCCTCTGTTTGAGCCGTGCCCAGAGGCTGTGCCATGGGCACAGGTCCTGCCCTGGGGGTCAGGTGTGGCCAGGAGATCACTCCCTGTGTCCCTGTGCCCTTGGGAAGGCTCTGCCCTGAGGGCAGGAACCAGCCGTGTCCTGCACCTCCAGGAAAAGGTTCAACCTCGCCTGGTCACCTCTGTAAAAGAAGAGCTGGGAATTTCAAACCCCGCTGCTTCCCAAAAGCTTTGCTAGTGCGTTCTGCAGGGCAGGAGCCACCTCCAGAAGCCTGTGTGTGGTGGAGCCGTGGTGCGGGCTGGGGCTGCTCAGCACGTGTGGGATGAGGAGGAAGCAGAGCTGAGCAGCAGGGCCCAGCAGGCTGCTCTTCCTGAGCTTCCCAGGGAAGGGGGGAAGCCACGAGGGGGGACACCAGCGCCTGGTGCGTGCTCCCGTGCTGCTTTCGCTGCTGAAAGTGCAGCTTCAGCACATGTGGGACCGGGCCAGACCTGGAGCAGCCACTCCTCTGGAGGCAGGAGCGCTGTCTCCGGGCTGCTCCCGCTTGTGTCCTGTTGGGGAGATGACAAAAGCTCCTGCAGGCTGCTGGGCTCGTCCCAGGAGGGCCAAACCGCGGCTCACAGCCCTGGCCCAGCTCCGTGGCAGGAATCTCTGTCCCTCACGCCTGGCACAGCGCTCCCAGGCCGCTCCTGTCACCATCAGCACGTCGGTGGCTGCTGCTCTGCTCTTGGGGACGTGAGGTTGGGCCTGTCCGTGTCAGCCCGAGGAATTCCGACGGCAGAGCACGGAGCCAGCGGCTCCATCCTGCTGGGGACACGGGGACGGGGGGATGCTGCTCTCCCCTGTGCTGTCACGGCGTGTGTCAGCTGGGGATTGTTCCTCAGAAACGCTCCGGAGCTGCGCTGGCATTTTCTGGGCTGAAATTCGATAATTGAGCAAATACAGCGTGGCTTTGTGTTGGGAGAGCACCATAAGGTAAACAGGAAGGAATGAGGGATTAAGACGTCTCTGCTCTGAGGGAAGGTGACAAGGCCGGAGCTGTGACACCTCCGTGCCGAGGCGAGGGGCCCAGCTGTGGGCTGGCGTGGCACAGCTGCATTGTTCAGGGGTGAAGAGCAAATAAAAGCCACGGGAAAAGAAAACAAGCTATAAAATTCTCAGCAAAGCACAGAGCCCCAGCAACTGCGTCCTGATGGCCCCGTGACAGCTCTGGGGAGAGGCGGGCGAGGGGTCGAGCTTTTGAAGTCCCCAAGTTGTCCTTTGCAAAGGCCCCCTGCTAAAATAGGCCTGGTGTTGACTTTAGGCTGCATATGGTGGAGGAATTGGACAGCTCAGTCACAGCAATCAAAGCAGGGGGCACCTTTTGGAATTTGGCTAACTGGGTGTCAGGCCGGGCCTGTCCCAGGTGGGATGGGGGATGCAGGGGCAGAAATGAGGATTTTCAGCATGGTCAGGGCTGCAGGTGAACAACAGAGCCTGTGGTGTGGAAAGCTGAGGGAGAAACCAGTTAGGAAGGTCTTGGAATGGTATCCAGAGCTCAAACGTGTGTGTCAGGAGTGGAGAGAATGGGAAACTGGGAAGCTCGGGCAGGTGATGATGGAAAGCCCTTCCCACAGGGACTGAGGGGGTTCTGAGGTCACTGAAGGGGGGGTCCCTCAGCAGTTTGGGGACCTTTGCGCTGAGCAGTAACGACACAAAGTGAGAGTGGATGAGAAGGGAGATGAGCGGTGCTGCCATGGGGAAAGTGCTTGTGCCAGAGCTGAAGGTGCCACAGGGGTTTGTGTGCTCTGTCCTCTGACCACGGACGGGCCCCTGTCCTCACAGTTCCCTGTAACCCCCCTGAGATCAGGGGAGGCAAAACCATAATTAACGCAAGTCAGGACAGTGAAATGTGGTCTTGTCAACCTTGTTTTTCCCTCTGAGAAGCTGGGAGGGCGCTGGCCCCACCAGCGGGCTCCTCTCAGCACAGCTCGGGATGTGGGTGAGCAGCTGGCCTCCCACAGCCCGAGGAGCCACCAGGGCCTCCCCCAGCCCGACAGGGCATCCCCAGAGGGTGGGCAGCAGCTCCCAGGGGCTGGCAGCTCCCTGTTTGGGCCCCGACGGTGACAGTGTCCCCTCTTTGCCTCCCCCAGCCTGCAACTGCAACCTGCACGCGCGGCGCTGCCGCTTCAACATGGAGCTGTTCAAGCTGTCGGGGCGCAAGAGCGGCGGCGTGTGCCTCAACTGCCGGCACAACACGGCGGGCAGGCACTGCCACTACTGCAAGGAGGGCTTCTACCGCGACCTCAGCAAGCCCATCTCGCACCGCAAGGCCTGCAAAGGTACGGGCTGGGGGCTGGGGGCTGGGGGCTGCGGGTGGGAGCGGGGCTCCTCCTTCCCTCCGCCACAGCTCTGCCTCTCGCCCAGCTCCCTCTCCCAAACCCCTCGGAAATTGCCTTTCTTGCTGTTTGCCATGGCTTCTCGTGCCCCCGCGTCCCCTGCCGTCACCTCTGCAGCCTCGTGGTGAGGACAAGGCCACCCACGAGCCCTGCCACCACCTCTCGCTGCTGTCCCCAACCTCCTGCCGAGGACGAGCCCATGGAAATAGAAGCCCTCACTGCTGAGGGTGACTGCAAGTTATTTGAGGGTTTGTCACTTACAAATGGTGCTTCATCTGCTGAGGATGACTTCAAATTATTTCAGGGTTTGTCACTTACAAATGGTGCTTCATCTGCTCCTACCTGGTCATCACTCTGCAAGGGCAGGGGGCACAGAATCCCAGGTACGGCTGAGATGTAGAATTTCAATCAGCCTCCCCCCAGCCCCGTCTCCAGCTGCCACCCTCCAGGCAGAGCTGAGCCCACGCACAGAACTTGTCACTCCTCCGGACGAGGAGAGAACAGAAAAAGGGGAAACGAGTTTATTTTGAGCTCGGAGTATTTTGAGGTTTCCTCGTGTGGCCGTGGAGGCGAGCTGGGATTCAGCTGGGGTGGGAGCAGCAAGAAGAGCAAATCCTGCAAAGGAACCCTTTTCACTCTCAGCTGCTGCTGGAAGAGATGGAAACCCTGAACCTGAGGTGCAGTGAAAGGAATCAAGCAAACATTCAAAAGCCAGATTAGAAAATGCTGGGGTTTCCCACAGAAATGCTCAGCTCTTTTCTCTCTGAAGACTCGTTTCAACAAGAAATGGAAAGCTTTTTGGCTTTACATTGGTATTTTTGGCTGGGAAGTTTGGGGTCTCCAGCATTTTCAATTTTTTGTTTTGGGTTTTTTTCCCTTACTGAAAACAGACATTTTTTGCCATAGCAGAAAAGAAATCCCCTTTTCAGACAGTCCTACTCCCCCTTTTTGAACTCTGTAAAAACAATTCCAATGAGATATTTTTGCTGTTTCCCAGGTGCTCATTCCTGCTTTTCCCAGCTCACCTCTGGCAGCTGCTCCCCTCTCCTGTCTGTCCCTCCGTGCTGTCCCCTGGCCCTTCAGTGTCACTGACAGCACCGAGTCCTGCCCAAAGACCTGGCTGGGTGGCACCTGCAGGTGGGAAACCTCTGAGTTTTCCATGCCTCAGCTTCCCCAGGCGAGCACAAAGAAGACATCACTGGCCTCTGGGGGCTTTTCAGGCTGAGTTCCCCACTTGCAGGATCATTCTCTCTATTAAATCCTCTTTGCAATTGCTCTGCCTTGTGGAGCCTCTCCCTCACCTGAAAGTGGACGTGGCCAAGTCTCAGCTCTCCTCCAGCCGGGTTTGTGCCAAACCTGTGCCCATCAGGTTTGTGGGAGCTGTGCTGGGCACGGGCAGCACCCATCAGCACGATTTCCCAGCCCTGAGGGGGTTTTGTGGGGGCAGATCCACTGTCCTTCCAGCAGTGAAATGGAGTTCCCCTCAGCAGCAGCAGCCCTTTGAAAACTCCTTTTCCCCAGCTCTGTCCCACAGCAGGGTTTATGTTCCCTCTGGTTCTCCCTCCTCGCTCAGGGCTTGTGCTGAAATCAGTGTTGAAAATGGGCAGGTTTAAACCCAGCCTTCCATTGAACAGCTCCAGCCACCTCTCCTTTGGTAACACCATTCATTTACCATCGCACCAAACCAACACTCCCAGAGCCTCATCTCAACTGAACGTGGTTAAAATTAAGGAATTAACCACCCTAAGCTCCTGCCACCTCCCTCATCACTGCCTGCGCCCAGCAGAACTACATTTTCCCATATTTTCCTCTATAAAACCTGATTCTTTAATCCATCACATCACTCTGATCATGTCCCACACGTAATAAATTTAAATAAAAGCATCTCAGAGAGCCCTGCTGCCTTGGGAGCTGCTGAGGAGCTCGTGGCTCTCACCCACCCCAGCAAGGTCTCGGGTGATCTCACAGCAAAGGCTCCATGAAAGAGCTGCCAGAGGCATTTTTTCATTAATTCAACTCCATTTATTCAGCCTAAGTGACACATCCAGCTAAGCTGCCTCTCCTGTGCCTTGCATTCCTCATCTCCCACTCCATCCCATGCACGAGGTGCCTCCACTCACAACACATCCAACAGCAGCAAATTAAAGAGGCTGGAGTTGCATTGTTTGAAATGATTGGTTTGGGTAATTATGCAAAAATATGACATTGCAGAAATGCTTGCACAATGTCTCCTTCTTTTTGACTTGGAGAAAAGGAGAATTCCACAAACTTTTGCACGTGCTGCAGGGCACGGGTGAGGCTCAGGCAGCAAAAGGTGAGCAGAAAGCAGAGCTGGGCAACACCCCTGCCCAGCTCCGGGCTGCTTGTGTTTCCAATGGCCAAGCCTTTAATAATTGATAAATAAAAGTCTTTTCTAATGGTCTGAAGTTGAGATGAGCACTGCAGGAGAAGGCATAAGGAGCTGGGGTGGAAGGATGGTTTTCCCTGAAGGCTAGCAGTGATCCAGCCGTGCCAGGTGCTTTGCTCTGTGTTTGCTTCCAGTGGCTTTCCCTGCAAAAATGATAAAAGCCTGGAAGCTGGCAGTGGCCAGAGATGCCCTGGGACACAGCCACGCCAGGCAGGCTGTGGCAAGGAGGCTGCAAACCACAGGCAAAGGAGCTGATGACAGATGGAGCAGGGATATTGCACGGAGTGGCAATGCTGGGTGCGTGCCAGGGCCTGCCAGGCTGGAGCTGGGCATGGAGCTGGGCATGCAGGATGTGGCTGCGCCGGGTGGGTGGTCAGGCAGCCCCTGGGACACCAAGCCAGGGCTCCCTGGCATTCCGAGATCAGACTGCAGCTGATCCCTGCCCCAGCCGTGCATCCTGGGCTGGATGGTGCTGCTGCTCCTCCTCCGGGGGCTGGGTGGGCTCACCCCGGGGCAGGGGAGCAGGATGCCCTTTGTCCTGGCAGACACATCACCCCCATCCTGGGCACACCCCTGGTGTGGGGGCTGGCCCCAGAAGCAACAAAACTCGGGGTATAAGAAATGTTCATGTTCATTTTTCAGACTCGGACAAGGACGAATTGTTCCTCTTTTCTCCCTGGTTTTTGAGAAATCACCAAGAGCTCCCAGCACGCTGAAGCCCTGCTTCCAGCTCCTTCTGCTTTCCCTCTGCTCCAAATGATGTTGCAAGTGAAATTCCACATCTGGGTCCTGCAAACCCTTGTCCACCCCACTCTGTCATGGGCTGCTGTAAATCAGGGCCCTGCTGTTGGTTCTTTTGATTAAACTCCCTCCTGATATTTGCCAGATTATTGGCACTAATGTAATTCCATTGGAGTGGAGAGTCTGCAGGGTTTTATAGCCTGGCTGTAAAACAGCTCTGTGCTTCGGGGAGAGGCTTTGCACACTTTTTGATGAAAAGATGACAAACGAGACGTGCTCTGAATGCACTTGTGCTGAGGCTGCCAGCACAAACCCCTCGTGCAGGGGCAGGATTTGGCACCTGGAGAGGTCACATTCATCAGGGCTCAGCGTTCTGGGAGGAAATGGCATTGTCTGTGCTGCTGCAGCCTGGGGAGCTTCCCAGCTGTGCTGCAGCACTTCATGCCTTGTGCAAGCCCCAAAAAGCACTCCCAGCCTCCCTGCCCGTCCAGGCCTGCACCCACCGAGGGTCAGGAGTTGACGTTGGCATTCTGGAGGCACTTTGGGCTGGAGCAGAGGGAGGTGAGAGCTGTCCCCATGGGCTCAGCCTCCCGTCCTTCATTTCATGGCTGCACATAAAAGGTTTTTCCCCACTCAGTCACAAACATTGAGTGAGGCAGAACCTGAACCCCTCTGGCTTTGGGGGAGCCCAGCAGAGCCCCGGGTGACAGGGACAGTGGCACCAGTCCCTCTCTCTCTCCAGTGACTATAGAGGGAGCTGCGTGACCAGCTTAGAGCTGAGCTCATTCCCTGGAGGCTGGGCCGGGGGAGATGGATCCTCTCTGCTCCTGATGCTGGGTCCCCCCGGGAAGTCGGGGCACAGGAGGTGGAGGGGGGAACACAGAGAGCAGAGCCTGGGAATGGTGGCACTGCCCCCAGAGCAGAGCCTGGGAATGGTGGCACTGCCCCCAGAGCAGAGCCTGGGAATGGTGGCACTGCCACCCCAGGTGTCCCACTGCTGGTTCCTGCTGCAGCATGGGGACACCAGTCTGCCCATGGTTCCAGTCGTGGCCAGCATCCCTCCAGCCCTGGAGATGTCCCCTGTCACCAGGGTCCCCAGTCACACCTGGGTGGGCTCACAGGTGAAGCATGCCAGAGACGTTGGGATGGCCTGGCTGGCTCCTGCTCCAGGGCTCCAGGGCTCCAGGGCCAGCAGTGGTGGCTCCTGCAGGGCTCTGTCCCCAGCCTTCCCTCACTGCAGGTCTCCACTGGGACCTTGGGGTCACCTCAGGAGGGGCTGAAGTGCAGCCTGAGGGGCACGCTCCCCTCTCCAGAGCTGCCTCATTTTGATGCCCATCTCTTCTCCAGCTCAGCTGTGGTTTTAAGGCAAACTCCAAGGCAACACTTTCCAGGAATTCACCCCAGGGAGTTGTCCTTAATGCTCAAACTTCCTTCCCTTCCTCTCCTCCTGTTGCTCCTCTTTGGACTCCAGCTGGAGCTACTGTTGAGAAGGGAGAGGAGCAGCCCGTGGTGTGGCAGGGCTTGGGCTGGGCTCTTGTGGCAGGGCTTGGGCACCTCTGAGGAATCACATCCCTGGAGCAATTCCAACCTTTCCAGGCATCGATCTGCCAAGCACAGACTTCAGTTCCTCCCCAGGACTGTGAAGATTCTCTTCCACTGCCACAAGAACGATTTTCTAGTTGCATTTCCATGCTGCATTTGTCAGTGGCTGTGCCTGAGCCACCCTTCCCCACGGCCCCAGAATTCCTTACATCGATATTACTGCAAGCCCTGGGAGCTGATTTATGGCTTCTGC